AATAAAAAGAGATGTACTCACTAGTGGAGGACAAAAGAGGTTTTGCTCAATCCATATAGCATTGGTGGCATGTTTCACAATTATGTGAAACATGTCAGTGTTAAAATAAAAGTTTTTTTAATCTATATTGGACCTTCCTGATTTTATCCAGAAGTTTCAAGAATACCCACGAACAGTCACCCTCCTGTTTCCTACCTTTTGGGTGCAGGAGGGTGAAATAAAATATATAGTGATCACTATAAACTAAATAAAATAAATAAAAAGAGATGTACTCACTAGTGGAGAGCAAAAGAGGTTTTGCTCAATCCATATAGCATTGGTGGCATGTTTCACAATTATGTGAAACATGTCAGTGTTAAAATAAAATAGTTTTTTTAATCTATATTGGACCTTCCTGATTTTATCCAGAAGTTTCAAGAATACCCACGAACAGATATTGCTTCTATACATTCCTGTCACTGACAGCCATTAGCGGACTCAAAACAAATTCTGAGTGTACATCTAAATATTTATAGACACTGCAAATTAGTGTATTGATTATACTATACTATATCGCTGCTGTTTTCTGTTCTTGTTTCATACCATGTGAAGTCTTTTCACTGGATCAAGATAAATAAACCCAGGGGTTAAAGCGCTGCATCCCTCCTCCCTCTATGCGGTATCCATTTACAACCAGAAAGAAGATACTGGTTTGGGTTGTCCAAGCTGCCTACCTATTCTTCAAACAAGAGCTAGAAACCACTTTGTACCATTTTGCTTATCAGATAAAAGGCCTAAAAAAAGTAGGGCGCTATTTAAAAGGAGCGCTATTTAAAATAAGTGTTGGAATGTCTGGCTGATATGCATTAAAATGTGATTTTAAATATTTGCAGAAAAGCATTACATGAATTGGTGTAGTATTTACAAAACATTTTCTCATGTGTACAGGTAAGCATCTATGCATTTTTGTTTGTTAGAAGTAATGGTAACATGGCCCACCTTCTTTTATATATGTCTTTAGATGGAAATGTCACCTACAAGCAGGGCCGTCTTTAATGTTGACTGGACCCTGGGCAAGCATTAGCTTGGGCCCCCTGGTCCCCTCCCGCCCACCTTCTAGCATGCAAAAACGCCTTCCACCCAAAGACACACAAAAAAAAAAAAACACACAGAGATCGTAGACATAGTCACACTTTTACCTAGTGAAAATACACACACAGATACACATACAGATGCAAACACTAACACAAATGCAGACTCACACATACACAGGCTCAGACATATACAGGTACATACATCTAAATGCACAGACATACAAAGACAGATACACAGACACACAGGTGCATACACAGATACACACTGGCACACATACAGATATACAGATACTCGCTGACAAACATGCAGACACACACTAAAACACAGATAAACAGACAAACACACCCTGACATATATGCAGATACACACAATAACACGCAGATACACACACAGACATACATGCAGTTACACAAACACACACTAACACATACAGACACCTATTCAGATACACAGAAACACATATAGCGCCCTACTTTTTTAGATACACACACAAACAGACACATGCACAGACTGATACACATGCAGACAGATATATACACACAAACAGACATGCATGAAAAATATACAATTTCAGTCACCCTCCTGTTTCCTACCTTTTGGGTGCAGGAGGGTGAAATAAAATATATAGTGATCACTATAAACTAAATAAAATAAATAAAAAGAGATGTACTCACTAGTGGAGGACAAAAGAGGTTTTGCTCAATCCATATAGCATTGGTGGCATGTTTCACAATTATGTGAAACATGTCAGTGTTAAAATAAAAGTTTTTTTAATCTATATTGGACCTTCCTGATTTTATCCAGAAGTTTCAAGAATACCCACGAACAGTCACCCTCCTGTTTCCTACCTTTTGGGTGCAGGAGGGTGAAATAAAATATATAGTGATCACTATAAACTAAATAAAATAAATAAAAAGAGATGTACTCACTAGTGGAGAGCAAAAGAGGTTTTGCTCAATCCATATAGCATTGGTGGCATGTTTCACAATTATGTGAAACATGTCAGTGTTAAAATAAAATAGTTTTTTTAATCTATATTGGACCTTCCTGATTTTATCCAGAAGTTTCAAGAATACCCACGAACAGATATTGCTTCTATACATTCCTGTCACTGACAGCCATTAGCGGACTCAAAACAAATTCTGAGTGTACATCTAAATATTTATAGACACTCCAAATTAGTGTATTGATTATACTATACTATATCGCTGCTGTTTTCTGTTCTTGTTTCATACCATGTGAAGTCTTTTCACTGGATCAAGATAAATAAACCCAGGGGTTAAAGCGCTGCATCCCTCCTCCCTCTATGCGGTATCCATTTACAACCAGAAAGAAGATACTGGTTTGGGTTGTCCAAGCTGCCTACCTATTCTTCAAACAAGAGCTAGAAACCACTTTGTACCATTTTGCTTATCAGATAAAAGGCCTAAAAAAAGTAGGGCGCTATTTAAAAGGAGCGCTATTTAAAATAAGTGTTGGAATGTCTGGCTGATATGCATTAAAATGTGATTTTAAATATTTGCAGAAAAGCATTACATGAATTGGTGTAGTATTTACAAAACATTTTCTCATGTGTACAGGTAAGCATCTATGCATTTTTGTTTGTTAGAAGTAATGGTAACATGGCCCACCTTCTTTTATATATGTCTTTAGATGGAAATGTCACCTACAAGCAGGGCCGTCTTTAATGTTGACTGGACCCTGGGCAAGCATTAGCTTGGGCCCCCTGGTCCCCTCCCGCCCACCTTCTAGCATGCAAAAACGCCTTCCACCCAAAGACACACAAAAATAAAAAAACACACATAGATCGTAGACATAGTCACACTTTTACCTAGTGAAAATACACACACAGATACACATACAGATGCAAACACTAACACAAATGCAGACTCACACATACACAGGCTCAGACATATACAGGTACATACATCTAAATACACAGACATACAAAGACAGATACACAGACACACAGGTGCATACACAGATACACACTGGCACACATACAGATATACAGATACTCGCTGACAAACATGCAGACACACACTAAAACACAGATAAACAGAAAAACACACCCTGACATATATGCAGATACACACAATAACACGCAGATACACACACAGACATACATGCAGTTACACAAACACACACTAACACATACAGACACCTATTCAGATACACAGAAACACATATAGCGCCCTACTTTTTTAGATACACACACAAACAGACACATGCACAGACTGATACACATGCAGACAGATATATACACACAAACAGACATGCATGAAAAATATACAATTTCAGTCACCCTCCTGTTTCCTACCTTTTGGGTGCAGGAGGGTGAAATAAAATATATAGTGATCACTATAAACTAAATAAAATAAATAAAAAGAGATGTACTCACTAGTGGAGAGCAAAAGAGGTTTTGCTCAATCCATATAGCATTGGTGGCATGTTTCACAATTATGTGAAACATGTCAGTGTTAAAATAAAAGTTTTTTTAATCTATATTGGACCTTCCTGATTTTATCCAGAAGTTTCAAGAATACCCACGAACAGATATTGCTTCTATACATTCCTGTCACTGACAGCCATTAGTGGACTCAAAACAAATTCTGAGTGTACATCTAAATATTTATAGACACTCCAAATTAGTGTATTGATTATACTATACTATATCGCTGCTGTTTTCTGTTCTTGTTTCATACCATGTGAAGTCTTTTCACTGGATCAAGATAAATAAACCCAGGGGTTAAAGCGCTGCATCCCTCCTCCCTCTATGCGGTATCCATTTACAACCAGAAAGAAGATACTGGTTTGGGTTGTCCAAGCTGCCTACCTATTCTTCAAACAAGAGCTAGAAACCACTTTGTACCATTTTGCTTATCAGATAAAAGGCCTAAAAAAAGTAGGGCGCTATTTTACCTGCTGTCCAGTGGCTGTCTGAGGCTGTTGGGAGTTGAGCACTCTCTCAGTCTGCGCTCCTGTCTTCCTCCCTCCCACGCTGCATTCTCCGTGTTAGCTAGGAGGAAGTGACTGCACTTCCTCCTAGCGCTGACCTCATCACTGAGGGCCCGGTCGCACTGTTAAAGCGCCGCAGTGCTGACCGGGCCCCTGCAGATTCATTGCCATCGGGTGGCCCTAAGAGCATGGGCCACCCGATGGGGCCCCTCATCGTGCGGCCCGCAGTGGTCTGCCCGCAAGCACCACAGCGGCCAGCGGGCTCAAGGGGCAGCTGCTTTGGGCCCCCTAGGAATGACAGGGCCCGGGGCAGCTGCCCCTTTTGCCCCGCGTTAAAGACGGCCCTGCCTACAAGGTTTTTATTAACATTACGATATAGGTATAAAACTAAATAAAGCATTTATATTTGGCTTTCATTCAGTATCAGTAATCAACTAATGGCTTAAACTATTCCCTATATTCTCAACCTCCCCAGTTTATTGAAACCTTCTGATTCTTCTTTCATCTGTCCAATGTCTTAAATCACTCCCAGGTATCTCTTTCTCTCCATGTCACAGACTTACTATATGTGGGCACTATGCTCAAAAGGAGACATTTGTTTACTTTTTCTAGTCATTTTCAGTAAGCTGTACTGTAATGCAATCAGGGTTCTTGCGAATTTCTTCAGGCAGGCTATTTTACAATTTGGATTTATCTATTTTTGTCACTTCTATTCTACATGAGAAAACATTCATTTTTGTTTTCATACTAACATTTCAGAACCTGTGCGAAATATTGTAAAAATATGGAATACCATATATAATTTAAAGCTTTTCATTCATCAAAATTTGTCTGCAGACCACTCTATACACAAAAATTACAGTTTTGTTATATGCTTACTAGCCATGTTAAAAAAATAAATATCATACTTTTTTTCCCACACAAAAAGTGCTTAGTAGTGAAAGGGTTTCTATTCCAGCCATCTGGACATAATGTCATATTGTAAGGTTCTGAGTAATTTGAGGTAAGGAGGAGGACAGGTATGAGAAGCTAATTGCTTAAATATCAAGGCATCCTTGAAAATCACAGGAAGATGCATAGGTGGCATTGGCAGCAGTTAAGTTGGGTCACTAAATGTAGCAGCTCAGATCTACAAACTGCCAAACCTTGCACTTTGTATTCAGGATCAACACGATTTTTCAATTGCATAAAACACCTAAAGAGGATGTGTTAAAATTCTTATTTTGAAGGTCATGTAAATCAGAAGAGTGGGTCTTCTTATTTCTAAATTACAGAACTCAACATTTTGTTTCTAAATACTTGATTTCTGTGCTCCGACAAAGCATTACCTGAGTTTTCAAGCATAGTTCACAGAGAAAGTTAAGTTGAGAAGTAATTTCATAATTTCTCTTTGAACACTTAAAACAAACTGGAAAGCTTCAGGGCAATTTTCTGCTGATTCTGTGCCCTTGCTGTCACATGTCTATCGATTATCATTTATCAGACATTCAGGAGAAGCCAGGTGCAGAAAATGTAAGAGTTATAACATGAAAAAAAAAATGAATAACTCTTGTATTAACAGCATTGGGCTCTGGTCCTGCTGTTTACTTGCTTTTCTTTTTAATTTTTCTTAACCACCATCGTTATAGAAATTATAGAAACACAGGACTCCATTTTATTCTGCTAAACACTAAAGTGATTTTGTAATTTATTTTCAGCTATTTTCTGCACCTGGATGTTTGTAAGATTTTTTTACATTTTTTTTTGTACACTGAATAAAAATGATATAGGGAAATATAATTTGATATGTATTTTTATAACATGAATTCATACTGTATTTTTTAAATTAGGATTAAAGATACACTGTAGGCACTAAAGCCCCTTTATCTCATTGGAGTGGTCTGGGTGCTACGTCCCTGTCCCTCAAAGTCCTGCAATGTAAAACATTGCCGTTTTAGAGAAAGCAACACTAAGACAGCCTTTATTAAGCTGTAGTGGTTGTGGTTGCTATAGTAACCATTTAATTAATAGCACTTATCAAGCCACTACAATAGACGAGCCTCTACTATGTAATGTAGTGAGCTAAAAAAAAAAGAGCAATGGTTTTCTCAAAACCTAAAGTAACTCCAAGATTAAAAACAGAAATGTTTGGGAAATATTGGTATAGATAATGTATATATTGTCCTGTGCAGTCTTTGCTGCTATCACAAAAAAGATAGCTTTTTTTCTCTAAACTGTTTCTAGATTCAAAGGGCTTGTCAATGCATCCTGCCAAAACTTCATCAAGGCACTATCTTTGAATTAGGATACTTATATTGTACTGATGCCAAAGCGCTGCTCCTACATGAAACACTCTTATGGCTGATTATAACCATTCAACTGAGAGCTTAGTTTGATAGCTAAAATTGGAGCTTAGTAGAATAATGAAATGTAAATGCTGTATGTTAATTGGAAATTTCAGTGCCTAAAAATTCAAGATTTCTATTGTTTTGCAACATATCAATTAAGTTCTTCATGAAACAGGTTTATGTAAATTTGTTTGTATGATGCCAGACATTTCAATTTATCAGTCATGCAGAGGTTAAGTAAAGTGACAACATTGCTATTCTACTTGGTTGTGGAGATATATATCGCACGTTTTAAAATTTTAGCACTAAATGTACCACACAAAACATAAAAATACATGTATATATGTTTGCTACCAGAGGGAAACTACAGGGCCTCGGTGCAAAAATTGCCCTGCGCCCCCCCATACGTCTACCCCCATCCATCCTCCCCCCCATACGTTCCCCTCTCCCCCCACACATGCCAACAGATACACATGCAGACACACACATTGACACACACACATACAGACACACACAGACACGCATACATACAAACACACATACATACAGACACACAAACAGACATACACACAAACAGACATACAGACACACATATATACAGACAGACACAATTAAGAAAAGTACAGCCAAAATGAATGATCGGAAAAATCAATCACTGAGGGTGTATTTGTTGTAGTGTATTAAGGGCATAACCCAACGATGATTATAGAAAAGAGAAGAGACTGGATTAGGTAAACTAAAAGAAGTACTCCCCAAAGCAGTCCCTATACCCCAAGTCAAAATGCTCCACCAGTATGAGGCTACAAATTGCTAGTAATAGAGCAAAGATAGAACTAAAACAATTAAATTTTAATGAGCCCTCTTAAGGGAACAATATGTATATATAACCAATGAAAAAATATATTTTTTAAACCATAGTGAAAAACAAATAAAGGAGTCTAAAATAGGTACATCTGCTAATCTGCGATATAGACAGTAATCGCTCTCAGTATTGGGCGGCCACTAGAAATAACTGTGTATCAACAGTTTTATTGTTACAAAGTATCTGTGGACCAGCAACCTAAAAAATGAGGTATGAACAAAATAGAAAAGACCCCTAAGGCTCCTATATCACCCTCATGCATGATTGATTTTGGAGCTCCCCATAAATTACAGTGTATATCTTTGCTGGGGTTATCCTCATTAGATTATTTTCATACGTGCAACTATATGCACATTAATCTACTAAGCAAGATACATTGTTTTTCTTTTCTATTTTGTTCATACCTCATTTTTTAGGTTGCTGGTCCACAGATACTTTGTAACAATAAAACTGTTGATATACTTTTTCCACCTGCACTGTGAATGTTTACATGGTGTGTTCAATAAAAACATGGCAACATTTCATTCTTTGTGTGTTATTAGTTTAAGCAGACTGTGGTTGTCTATTGTTGTGACTTAGATGATGATCAGATCACATTTTATGACCAATTTGTGCAGAAATCCATATCATTGCGAAGGGTTCACATACTTTTTCTTGCAACCGTCTATCTTTTTGGAAAATACAGATTAAGAGAACAGCATAGCCAAAACAATTTTTAATTAAAATACAGTTTTAATTCAGGACGGGTTCCGTGTTGACGGATGCGGATCTATCGCGGCGAAAACATTATGTCAACAGCACACTGTCAATACTCACCTATGCATGAAGTGCCGGATGAGGGTGTCTTACCCATTTTAATAAAAAATAACTCACTGCCAATTGGCAGGGCTATGTCTGCTTCTAGCATTTGTTAGGCTAACACAGAAACAGGCATTTAAGAGTCCAAATAAAAATTAAAGTCGATCACTGCCTACAGCGATCAAATACAGATCACAGAATCTTTGAGGTTCCCTCAGGGGTTCAATTTATTTAATTAATTAATTTAAATATTTTATAACTATATATAGCACTGTTAGTGCTGCGTACTGCTAGTTAGGGGTTAACCTTAGAAAAATGTTAAATCTGTAAAAAAGTTTTAAGAAAGTTTAGGAAAGTTTAAAAAAAATTTATGCAAAACAAAAGTTTAAAAACAAAGTTATAAAAAGTAAAAAAATACATTTTAAAAACGCTCATTTACACCTGGAACAAACTATAGGTTCTGCCTTTTGAATTAAGGGTGTATTCTTTAATAAATAGTATGTGTTTGTGGGGAAGTTTCAATAACCAACCGTCTAAACTATTCCAAATTGGAACATGGACACAGCGTAAAACTTCAAAGTTAGAAAAAAACTGAATGGCTGCGTCTCAAATGCGCCCCTTCAACATCCACATATACCTGGCAAAGGTACATACGGGGGTATTGCTGTACTCAGCCGACATAGCTGAGCAACATATGAAGTTTATACAGTCATAGTACACATAAGGTTTGCAAAATATGCTGCGCAAACTCACTTTGTATGTCAAAAAGGCAGAAAAAATGCTTATTACCACTACACTTGGTACAAGCTAGCGGAAAAATGATACACTAAGGTTCAAAATATGCCTTTTGAAATACCCTGGGATGTCTTCTTTAAGAAATGGTATGGCTTTATGGGGAATTTGGATTATATAGCCTGGTAAAATACTCTAAAATGGGACATAGGCACAGCATAAAAATTCAAAGTTTGAAAAAACTGGAATGGCTGTGTCCCAAATGTGCCCCTCCGATGTCCACACATACCTGGCAAAGGTACATACGGGGGTATTGCTGTACTCAGCCGACATAGCTGAGCAACATATGAAGTATTATACAGTTGTAGCACACATAAGGTTTGCAAAATATACTGTGCAAACTCACTTTGTATGTCAAAAAGGCAGAAAAAACGCTTATTACCACTACATCTGGTACAAGCTAGCGGAAAAATGATCCCACGCTAAGGTTCAAACTATACCTTTTGAAACACCCTGGGGTGTCTACTTTAAGAAATGGTAGGCCTTTGTGGGGTAGATTGAATTTAAAACCTGCGAAGATGCTTGGAAATTGCACATAGGCCCAGCGTCAAAATTCAAAGTTTGGTAAAAACGGATATGGCTTGGTCTCCTATATGGCACTGTAGCTTCACAAAATAGTGACAAAGACATTCATTGGGGGTGTATTTTTACTCCAAAGACTTAGCTGAGCATAATTTGGGAGGTTTGAACTTAGTGGCACATATGAAATATACAAAACGCCCAGCAAAAATGCAATCCGTATGTAAAAAATGCACAAAATAATTTTTTTACCACATACTTTGGCATATATTGGTGAAAAAATGGGGGTATGTCAAGGCACAATATGCACCTTATGAGATACCCTGGAGTGTCTACTTTTACAAATGGTAGGCCTTTGTGGGGGGGTTTTGAACAGTCAAACTGTTATAATACCCCAAATGGAAGCTAAGGCTCATTAAATCCATCTCTCAAAATTCTACTGTGAATACTGTAAAGGACAGGTCTCCTATATGGCACTGTAGCTTCACGAAATAGTGCCAAAGACATTCATATGGGGTGTCATTTTACTCAGAAGACTTAGCTGAGCATAATTTGGGGGTTTGAACTTAGTGGCACATAAGAAATATACAAAACGCCCAGCAAAAATGCAATCCGTATGTAAAAAATGCACAAAATTTTTTTTACCACATACTTTGGCATATATTGGTGAAAAAATGGGGGCATGTTAAGGCACAATATTATAAGATACCCTGGAGTGTCTACTTTTACAAATGGTAGGCCTTTGTGGGGGTTTTTTGAACAGTCAAACTGTTATAATACCCCAAAATGGAAGCTAAGGCTCATTAAATCCATCTCTCAAAATTCTACTGTGAATACTGAAAAGGACAGGTATCCTGTATGGCACTGTAACTTCACGAAATAGTGCAAAAGACATACAATGGGGTGTCATTTTACTCAG